GTGCATGAACCAGGAGTAACCCCTGAGCATCTTCGGGTATGACCCCACTGTGTCACTGTATCACTGTCATCCTGTTGTTCATCGATTTACTCGAACGGACACCAGTAATGTCTCCATTCATCACAGCCCTGAGATTTTAGCAACCTCTCCTTACTCGTCCATCCCAATGCTGCTGTACTGGAGGCTCTTTCAGAGTCAGGGGAATGAGACCCGTTATTGTTACTGTTTTTGGAATATTGAATAAGCTACAGGTAGCTTGCCAGATCCCAACACCTTTAATTTTTTTTTTGCTTTTTGGGTCACACCTGGCGATGCACAGGGAAAACTCCTGGCTCTGCCCTCAGGAATTACTCCTGGCAGTGTTTGAGGGACCATAGGGGATGCTGGGAATCAAACCCGGGTCAGCTGCATGCAAGGCAAACACCCTACCCGCTGTGCTATCACTCCAGCCCCACCTTTAAAAATATGTATAATTTTTTGCTTTATGGGTCACACCCAGTGATGCACGGGGGTTACTCCTGGCTCATGCACTCAGGAATCACTCCTGAAGGTGTTCGGGGGACCATATGGGATGCTGGGGATCGAACCCAGGTCGGCTGCATGCAGGGCAAACACCCTATCCACTGTGCTATCGCTCCAGCCCCTAAAAATATTTTAAATGAATAATAATAAATAATAAATGAAAGAAAGAAATAAGAAAGAAAGAAAGAAAGAAAGAAAGAAAAAAAGAAAGAAAGAAAGAAAGCAAGCAAGCAAGCACACTCAATTCTGGGCAGCCAGGGCCATGGTCAGACATCGTCTCCTAGTCTCTCCCTTAAAAATTAAATTAAATTAAATTAAATTAAAAATACAACAGGGCTGGAAACATAGCACGTAAAGGTTACATAGCAACAGGGCTGGAAACATAGCACATAGCACATAGCACATAGCACAGGCTTTGTGTGCAGAAGGCCCCGCTTCAATCCCTGACACTGCATGGTCCCCCACACTGCTGGGGATGCCCCTACACAAACCAAAAAACCACAGCATGAAATTTACACCCATAACCACTCTAAAGCCACAAGTCAATAATACTCTTATGAAATTCTCATTTTGTGCAGCAGATTTCTAGAACTTTCTCATCTTGCAAATCTGAGACTCTAGTACTAAATGAACGGACTCCAGGTGATCAGGAGACTGGGGCCCAAACAGGGTAGGGAAGTGAACGTCCTCTGAGTGGCCTTACTCTGACTTTTACACCATCTGTCCTCTCCCTGTGAAACTGGGGCCCTCCCTCCCTCACCCCTCTCTTCCTCTCAACCTCCCCTGACATCTCACATCTGCCCCTGTTGCTCACTTTGGTGTCCCACTGGCTCAGCTCTGGACTCAGCATCTTGCACTGGAACTATTCTAAGGCCCTTATTGCTGGGCTTCCAGCGTCCATGCTTTGTTTCGTTTGTGATACCGGGAGGTAAATTCAGGTCGTCATAAGTGCAGAGTGAGCTACATCCAGATCTCAATTTTCACACCTTTTCCCCGGCTATAGGATGGTTTTCCAACTCTGCCTTCCTGCCATTTCCTCCACCCCATAGCCTCTCTTCCCCTCCAATAATCATCCTCCTCTTCTTTGCCTTCCTTCTGTTCATGTCCACAGTAAATGTTTTTCTTCTTCTCATACCCTGCTCACCTGTACACAAGGCTTCCTCTACTTCCTGAAAGCCGTTCAGCCCAATGTCTTTATCTCTGTGAGCATTCTCTGTGCCTTGATCGGATTCAGTTTTCTTTCTTGAGGCTCCAGTAACTACTAGCTTGTTCCTTGTTGAAGAGATGGCAGTGTGCCTCTTGAGAGAGGGACAGGGCTTGGACCCTGAGCAGAGTGGGTCTTCTTAAATGAATCTGCTTGAATGATTAGTTAACCTTGTCTCTCTCTCTCTCTCTTTCTCTCCCTTCCTTCCTTCCTTCCTTCCTTCCTTCCTTCCTTCCTTCCTTCCTCTCTCTTTCTCTTCCTTCCTTCCTTCCTTCCTTCCTTCCTTCCTTCCTTCCTTCCTTCCTTCCTTCCTTCCTCCCTGTCTCCCTCCCTCCCCCTTCCTTCCTTCCTTCCTTCCTTCCTTCCTTCCTTCCTTCCTTCCTTCCTTCCTTCCTTCCTCCCTTTTTTATTAAGTCACCATAAGATAGTTGTTCATGATTGGATTTCAGTCATACGATGTTCTGACACCCAGTCCTTCACCAGTGCACATTTCCCACCATCAATGTTCCCAGTTTCTCTCCTTTTACCCACCCCCCTCCCCGTGGGCCTCTATGGTAGGTACTTTTCTTCTCTCTCTCTTTCCTTCATCTCTCTTTCCTTTGATACATTATAGTTCAATACAGGTATTGAAAGGTTATCATATATCTCCCTTTACTTACTTTCAGCACTCAGTTCTTGTCCACAGTGATCATTTCCAACCATCATTGTCATCATATTGGATTTTGGTCCCTTCTCTGTCCTAACTGGTCCCTCTTCCCCTCCCCCCTCCACATCTGTGGCAAGCTTCCAAACATGGATCAGTCCTCCTGGCCCTTATTTCTACTGTCCTTGGGTAATAGTCTCAACCTATGGTTATTTTTGTTGTTTTTTAATTGAGTCACTGTGATATACTGTGACTCAGTTAAATAGTTCTAAAGCTGTTTATGATTGGGTTTCAGTCATACAATGTTCCAGCACCCATTTCTTCACCAGTGTACATTTCCCACCACCAATGAATGACCCCAGTTTCCCTCTCTCATTCTGTGTTTTTTATATCCCACGATGAGTGCAATCATGCTATGTCTGTAGATCTCTGCTTAGCTGACTCTGAAGTTCATGGCACTGCTCCTGATTTCCATTGCTCCCTGCAGGGAGGAAGGAGATGTACATTTCTTTCCTGACAAGTGTAGTCATGAAAAAGAGCCCATGCCTTTTGGTTCTTCACTTGGGGAGCCCATGGATTCCTTCTCTCCATCTAGACTACGTTGTCTGGCGTCCCCTTCAGTCTTGAATGAAGTGTGGGGCATTTCTGAGTGACAGCTATGCCACTCGGTCTTCCCTTTCACGCTACATTCATAAAGCTTTTCATTTATCATAGTCCTAATCATCATCTTCCCCAGAAAGAGACCTTTGGGTTCATAGTCATGTTGTAACTTTGATTGGTTCACCTAGATAAAGGACAATGCTGACTCTTTGGATCTGGGAGTCACACCCAACAATGTTCAGGGGCTCCTCCACACTACAGGGTCACTCCCAGGGGTGCTCAGGGAGCCAGGCAGCTCTGGGGATCGAACCTGGGGCTCCCCATGCAAAGCCTGCACTCCAGCCTTTTTGAGTTATCTCTCCAGCTCCTAGAAAAGGATGGAGGAGGCAGTCAGTGAACAGAGTCTTTGGTCTCTGTTTAGTCCCCATGTCTTCTCTGAAGACTGTAAGGGAGAGAAGCCGCAGCCTGTCTTGGGGTCATCTCCTGGACCTGGAGGAGAGACTCCCCTTGTGAGTAGGGATATGTGGTCAGGGCTATGCTAATCAGAAACAAGAGGACAGCCACACTCTATCTGTGAAGGCTGGAGGACCGGGGATCAGGATGCAGAAACTTCTGGACTGTGCTGAGGGGTGGGGAGCCCTTGATGAAGCTTCTTGAGGGAAGTGAATGAGGTGTTTGCCTAGCAGGAATAATCAGGTTTTTCAGAGAGGAGCAGGCAAGGTGGCCTCCAGCTGTTCTCATACATTATAGATTAAAGATCTCTGGGAAGAAGGAAGAAGGACATTTGTCATCGTTGATGGTGTATGAAGTGCCCTGTGCCACTGCATTGGAAGGTGGGACGGTCGTGGTGTTGGAGTGGCTTCTTGTATGCTCTTGGGGGCAAGTCAAAGCTTCTTTCCATGCTCCCTCAAGACTAGTCCTTTTCTCAAATATTTGCAGTGGGTCAAGACCCCTACCCCACGTTTCTCTGCCACATTTCCAATAACATTTTCCCTAAATAGATAAGAATTTCTGAAGTGGTTGGGGTCTAGGGTAATGGGGTCTAGGGTAACAGAGAGGCCAAATTCTCCAGTCTCTTGGTAGAACGGAATCTAAGTCATTCTGACATCATCGAAATAGCATTTGGGGAGACATGAAAAATGAGCTTGCTGAAGGAGAGGGATGAGAAAACTCTTCTAAGTGTGCCACACAATGTGCTGAGAGCCAGCGCAGAAGCCAAAGGAGCTCTGAGCTGGCCACTGAAGGGCAGGACCCTGCCTTGGCTAACCTCAGAGTCTCCATGATTCTCTGCACGCCCGCTGAAAGGCATGAGAGCAGGTAATCCCCACAGCTCTTCCTGTCGGAACCTCAGAGATGTAGATAACAAAGGAAGGCGAGAAGGTTTACGATGGTTAAGGAAGGCTTTCTCTGTAGGTGTTAGTATCTGCTTCTTTTTTTGCAGGGGCAGGGTGAGGAGTTGGGCCAGATTAACTGTGCTCAGGGCTTCCTCCTGACTCTGCGCTCAGTGCTTACTCCTGTGGTGCTCAGTGTTACTCAGTAGTGCTCACTGCTAACGTCTGGTAGTACTCAAGGGATCAGATGCAATGCCAGGGATCGAACCCACCCAGGTCAGCCTCATGCAAGGCAAGTGCTTTACCCCCCATACTATCTCTCTGCCCTATTGAGCCCCTCTTAAGTGCTGCCATCAGCACCCACATACAGCAGTGAGATTCACATACATCACTGAAGTTTGGTGCAAAAAAAATAAAAGGAGATAGAATTGGAGAATCGGGACCTGGAGCAATAGTACATTGATAGGGCTGACACAGGTTCGATTCCCAGCATCCCATATGGTCCCCCGTGCATTGCCAGGACTAATTCTTGAGTGCAGAGCCAGGACTAACCCCTGTGCATCCCTGGGTGTGACCCCTCCCCCCCCCCCAAAAAAAAGGATTTACAATTGACCAGTGGTACTGGGATTTTGCCAGGGTCTGGATTAGTCACTGAAGCTGCAGATATTACAAGCCATCTCTTCTCTTTCCTGTCCATCAGGCTGCCTTTGTTTCTCCCTGCTGCCATGGGGACCACCAACGAAACGGAAAGCTGGTATGCGAAGCTGCACGATGTGCTGAAGGCCCTCAACTCCACCCTGCACAGCAACCTGCTCTGCCAACGGGACCCGGCAGCAGACAACCTGGTCAAGGAGCCCCAGGCCAGACAACCTGGCCGTGATGACAACTCCTACATGTATATTCTCTTTGTCATGTTCTTGTTTGCTGTCACGGTGGGCAGCCTCATCCTCGGGTACACCCGCTCTCGCAAAGTGGACAAGCGCAGTGACCCCTATCACGTGTACATCAAGAACCGAGTATCGATGATCTGATGTTCTGGGGCCTGGAATTGCCCGAGAGGGTGAGTCCTAAAGTCCTCCTCCCGCCTCCCGGACTCAGCCACCTACCACATCAGGACTCCGCGTTCATACCTGTAAGATCAGCCAGAAGCAGTGCCCAGGGAGACTTTGCTGGGGGGACAGGCACGGGTGCACCGGGCTTTGCAGATAAAGATTTTTTTTCCACCACAGATAGATTTTATAGCTAACAGGAGCCTCGTGAACAAATCAGGAGACTGCAACTGAAGATAATGACTGAAGACGGAACTCGCGGCCAACGGACTTGAGATTTGGGTTGGAGGATGGAAAATTGCAGCGGAGGGAAACAAAATGCAAAATGATCCGAGGACTCATGCTCTGAAATGTTCTCTTTGATGCCCAGGAGAAGCAGCGACAAGTCTCACCAATAGGCTGTTAGAGTTCTGTTCCTTCTCTTGGTTCACACATTATGATTTTCAATACATTTGACGTGTATGAATTGATCCCTCTGGAAGGGAAGCAGGGCCCATGCTGTTCTACACAGAGCCAGACTGGGCTCCGGCCTGCTGGTCTCCTAGACTAGAGCTTTCTAGAATTCCGTGTTCCCTGACCTGAACACCCATCTCCAGGGGTCCTCTTTATAAAAATGAATTCCAAGATCTCTTACTTTGGCAAATATTTCAAGAACATTTTACTCTGTTCATTCATCTCAGACCCCTTCTGAGGCCTTAGGAAGGAGTCATTTAAGTGTATGGTTTGCTTTACGTGACCGTACATGTGTTACTTGTATAATAAGGGGGAAATAACTTCAGCTTTGAAAAAACAAATAAAAATCAATGTTTATATGTTTCTTTACTTATTTTTAAAAAGAAATTTAGGGTTATTTTACCCTTTATAAGTTTTTTAAAAGTTAGATGACTTTACATTTTATTTTTTAATCCATTTTCTGCCATTGACGAAGTTGTTGATAACAGGGTTTAAAACATTCAGTGTTTAACTCCAAACCCAACCCTGTGGAACCATATTGGAGTGCCAGTGATTGAGCCTGGGTTGCCCTTGTGCAAGGCAAATGTTTTACCTGCTGTACTATCACTCCAGTCCCTACTGCATTGCCTGCCTGCCTTCCTTCCTTTCTTCCTTCCTTCCTTCCTTCTGTTTTATTTATTTATTTTTTTAATTAAATCACTGTGAGATACACAGAATAAAGTTGTTCATGATTGGGCTCCAGTCATACAATTTTCCAGCACCCATCTCTTCACCAGTATAGATTTCCCACCACCCATGTCCTCAGTTTCCCTCCCACCTGCCCCCACCCCGGCCTGTTGTGTGAATACTCAGTCTGTTGGAGGCACAGAGATTAGTCAGGTGAGAGGAATGTAGAAGCACGGAGGACCACAGCTCTCTCTGGCTCTGTGGCGAAGATGAGCTTTTTGTGATCTCTTTTAATTTGCTTTCCTATCATAAAAAGAATTCAGAAAAGCAGAAAAAAAATCATCAACAAAGGAATGTTGGGACACAGACTGAACGTATCTCACAAGGACACTAAAGCATACATTGTCTGCCATGTCCATGAAGCAAATGGCTACAATCTCGGGGGAGAAATGTGAGGTTGAGGCTATGCGCCTTCATAGGTCATGACCTCCTCACATCTGGGGTCTGGGATAAGCAGGAGAGCTATTTAGGAGGGCCGCTTTCCTGTGCTGCCAGGAGTTAATGTATGACCAAGGCAGATGTAGGAGGACATATTAACCCTTTCCAGATCAATCAGGCTCACAAGCTTCAGCTTGCCCGATTAATTCAAAGTAGGGTCCTGGTTCTGCTTCCTGCTTGCAGGGCAGCCTCCAAGGACTTGTCCTAATGATCTGTCTAGGCACCAACACTGCCCCTGAAGCTGCCTCTATGGCAGACACTTTTCTTCTCTCTCTTATTTTCCTTTCTGGCACTGTGGTTTGCAATACTGTTACTGAAAGAGTATTGTGCATATCATTTTACCCCTTTTCAGCACTCAGTTCTTGTCCAGAGTGATCATTTCCAACTATCATTGTTATACTGGTCCTTTCATAACTGCCCTCCCCTCCCACTTTGTGGCAAGCTTCCTTCTATGGCCCAATCCTCCCAGTCCTTGTTGCTACTGTCTTTGGGTATTATTTTCTTACTATTTTAAAACAAAATTTGGCAAATGCTTGCAATCTTTCTGTCTGTCCCTCTCCTCCTGGCTCATTTCACTCAGCATGATACTCTCCATGTCCATCAATTTATAAGGGAATTTCATGCCTTTAGTTTTCCTGGTGACTGCCTAGTATTCCATTGTGTAGATGTGCCACAGTTTATTTATCCAGTCATCTGATTGTGGGCACTCAGGTTGTTTCCAGATTCTGTCTGTTGTGAATAGTGCGGCAATGCACAGAGGAGTGCAGATGGCTTTCCTGATTTGGGCCACCAGAGTATATTTCCTAGTGTGTTTCTCGAATGGAGGGCATGAGCAGTTTGTGTTGAGCCCTGTGTACATACAAGCTGGGCCTTCTTCCCTCTTCAGAAGGGAAGGAGCCTTTAAGAAGTTCTGATGTCTGGGCAGACAACAGACTCAAATTTGCATAACCCATGGGACTCAAGAGATCACCCAACCCAAACTCACAAGTACAATATGAAATGCAATGGAATGTAGGTATGAACAGTCAGGTGAGAGGTGCTGGCAGGGTTTTGGGAAAGAGAGTACAGGGTTTTGGGAAAGAGAGTATACAGATTGAGTACATAGGAGTCAGAGAACTTGGACCCAGTCTCGACAGACCCAAATGAGCAGGGTGAATGAAGGGAGCGGGTGCAGGGAGACTGGGCCAGAAATAAGAAAAGAGAGGCTAAGAGGTGGCACAGTGGTTGGGGCATATTCCTGGCCATGCATCTGACCAGCACCATGTGGTTCCCTGAGCATGGCCAGTTTCAGTTCCCAGAAGCACCAGGGAAGCCCTGGGACCCCCAGCATTGCAGGGACCGGCCACACCACATTCTCAGGCCCTGAGCTGAAGAGCAGTGTGGTTTGCTGAGAATCTCTGATGGGGATCCTGAACCCATTGCTTGAGACCCCCCAGAGCCCTCTCCGTGGGAAGGCTCCCTTCACAAAACAACAATCTTTTCCTTAAAAATTGCAGAAACACAGAAGATAATACCACCAACAGCAAAGGGGGGGTTTCAGTACAGGAAGTACAGGGGCAAGGGAGACCCCAAGGAGACTCCAAAGGGACACAGTGCATTGCAACTTCTAAGTGAGAAAATCTGAACTCATGAAGCAGGGGCTTGGCACTCCGATATTAAATACAATTCAGGATTTGGAGATGGGATCGTCTCAACATTCTAATCGCCTGTGATGCAGTTATTGCCCTTGGTCCTTTGGGTCTTTCTTTATCCCTCCCCATCCCTACCCGGCTACTGACCCAGCAGGACCTATTGTCTGTGCTGCTTCTGCCCTCTGCTGGTCAGAGTCCAAACTTTGCCTTAATCCCTCAACACTGAACAATCAATAGTCACCCACTCCACAGATATTTATTGAGTGCGTATTATGTAATAAACATTTATCTGGGTGCACTTGTAACACACAAGAAAACAAAAAATATCAAAGGAATACACCTTAGTACTTAAGGATATTTATCACGTGCCAGGCAGTCGTTTAAGCATCTTATACATACTAACTCATGCAGCTTTTATTTACTTTATTTTTTTAATTGAATCACTGTGAGAAACAGTTTACAAAGTTGTTCATGATTGGGTTTCAGTCAAATAATGTTCCAAGACCCAATCCTTCACCAGTGCACATTTCCCACCACCAAAGTCCCCACCACTCCTCCCCCAGGTTTCCTTCTCTCTCTCTCTCTGTTTCTCTCTCACTCTCATTCTCTCTCTCTTTTGGGGGGTATTATGGTTTCATGCAGTTTTTAAAACTCACAATACATAGCTAGAGCCATAGTACAGTAAGGAGGGCTTTTGCTTGAACACGGCCAACCTGGGTTCCATCCCCGCTTCCCCCTGAACCTCACCAGAAGTGACCCCAGAGAAGAGCCAGGAGTAATCCATGAACACTTCCAGGTCTGTCTCACAAACACCGCCCCCCAAATGCAAAACAAATGCTCACAATAACCTGTTGAGTTCTTTATCATACCTTCCACAGAGCCAACACATTTCTCATCAAGTCCCAGTAGCTCCCTCAAGTTACTATCAGCTCCTGAACCCCAACCCCAGACAGTGGGGGATCTGAGAAGGCCCCTAAAATGAGTGGGGAAAAATGAATGGGAAATGTAGTGTGTTGAAGTTGAACGGAACCTATCTGGGTATTTACTGAGGAGGCACTTCCTGGGGCAAATTGTAGGGAGAGAACCAAATTGATTGGCCAAAAAAGAGGGAAAACTCTGTGTGTCTTGGGCCAGGGCGTCCCCAGCCCCAGACTCCCAGAAGCTGCCACCCAGGATGGGCTCAGGTCACACAGCAGAATGATGGCCCCAGAGAAAGGCTCCTAATTTTTCGGTGCCCATAGCTGTCAGCCATGTGGTTGTGTGGCCCCCTGGTAGGGGGCAGGGATGACAAGACAGTCACCCCTGAAAACTGCTGGTCCATAGACAAGGACAAGACCACAAATTCCTGCCAAGTCCAAGAAAAAATTGCCATAACCACTGGACACCCGGTCATCATCCTGGATTATTTAGGGACAGTGCTGCCTGCGACAGTGGGTGGTGAAACATCAACTTCGTTTGATACATACAGTATTTGAATTAAACACTGCTTTGCAAAAGTTCAGGAAGTTCTGTCATCAGGGCCAAAGAATGCCCTACAGTGGGTAGGGCATGTGCCTTGCATGTGGCCCCCCCTGGGTTTGATTCCCGGCATCCCAAATGGTCCCTGAGCATCATCGGGAGTAATTCCTGAGCACCCTCAGATGTGGACCAAAAACAAAACAAAGAAATTCTATTGATAGTGCTTTTGGGGGTGGGGGAGGGGAAGCTATTGCCCAGTTTATGGTTATTTTCTTTAGCATTAGGGGTATGTGTATGTGTGAGTGTGTGAGA